ATTTTACCCTTTATTTTCGGTTTTGCATCCCGTCCTCGTCGCCAATGTAATGATTAGACGMCATCGCTGGTCAACTCGTTTATTGCACRATAGMCTTGTTGCTAGGTAACATAGTACTTAATCCTGATTGGATACTACACTACCGAGCTTTGAAGTAACTRTTGCCTTTGGCTTTGGTTGCTGGTCCTGAGTCTCAATCGAACGTTTGTTAGGTGTAGATATGTGTTGAACTTGCTGTCCCTGCTCTCCCAGGGTTTTTGAGTAGTCGTTTTGTGGGTTGATCGGCGTTGATGTAACTACAGGTGACTCAAACGTAGTAGTATCAGTAGAAWATGTTTTATTGTCATTTGTGATTGTAGGAACTTCTTTGCTTTTTGCTACCATATTTTGATCTTGTAATTGAGCACGATTTTTATTGTTTTCTTCGTGTGCACGATTGGCGTTTTCGTTAATATTATCATTTGATCCTGGTGTCGTTCCATCAGTGGCTGTAGGTACGTTTTCACTTCTTGCTGYCAAATTTTGATCTTGTTGTTGACCACGATTCTCGTTGTTATGGGCTTGGCATTCGATTTCTTTCGTGAGTTTTGCTATCTCCTCCTCCTGATCTTTTATTTGCTCGTCAATATCGTCGTAACGGCCCGAAGTGATGGCTCTTTGGTCGTGTGTAGCAGCGAAGASAGTTGAACGGCCATTTATCACAGAATTTACTTAGTGTTCGGTCTCGAGAAAGTCCCTTTCGATTCGTTCCAGATCTGCCTCTAGTCTTGCAATCTTATCAACTTCATCAAATACGGCGTACTTTTCCTCGAGTTGTCGATAACAGTCCAAAAGCTCTTTGTATTTTAGGCTAAATCTACAAAATCCTGACCTGATATCAGCTGGAGGCGTCTTGTCATCAGTGAGATTCCAGTGAAGTTCAGTTCTTAGATGGTAGAAAATTGCCTTTTCTTTGGCAGTCATCGCTCTCAATCCACTCATTCTTGCGATCTAACCTCGCTCTGCTACCATGTTTTGAACGATGAAGGCTACATTTTCAGTTTTGGATTTATTCTCCGTCCTCTTTTTACAACAACATTGAACAACCGTATGGTCCAACATACGCTACTGCGCATGACCATAAAAATACGACACAGGAAATCCGCAACAAACGTAANGTATTATTAGGATTATTATCAAAGCTTAAGCTCTTTATAAATCGATCATTGCTGTAATACTGTACTATTAATAGGATTTACTGGTATTGAGATACGACGCTTTGCTCGAAAAAAGCAAGAATTTGGATCACAGTGTCCCAACAGTAGCACTGTTGATGCGGATACAGGCAGGATTCAAGCTCAGCAGATCGACCCACTGATTGGCAACATCAAGGGACCTCTGAGTCTACGACCATATCGACCACCTCCTGCATGGAAAACAACATCGATGGGCTTKGTTCCTAATGCCACAACAACAAGAGCGGTTTTCATGAATTCCTTCCTTCCTGAATTTTATCAAGCAAAGTTTAAGTACTCAAAAAATGCCAAACACTTTGTTAAAGAATTCCATGGTACTGGAAGACAATTGTACCAATCAATGCAGCACATTGATGTTCTAGAAAGGCAAATTGACTCTTTAATGAGCAAAGACAACCCTGCTGCAGTTGGAGCTGTGCTTGACAGCGATTATATCTTGGTTCCTAGTGATAGTATCAGGATTACTAACAACATTCAGAAGGCTGAACAAATAACCACGAAGCTGATATCTGTTTGCAATGAAGTGAAAGCTATGGACAACAAACYGWTWAATACTTCACGAAAATTATGTTATGGAGAGGAAGCTACCCATAAGGCTTTTGAGACACAGCTTGGCAAAATCGCCTTTCTCCAAACCAAAGTAAAGGACATTCATGACCGCCTTCTTAAGCTGAAAGAAAAGTGTTCAAGGCTGTTTACTGTGTCATATGTTAAGCAAATGAGCAAAAAGAGAAAACAAAAGCAGAACAAAAGAAAAGCCAAAAAAGCTAAAGAAGTAAGAGGAGAAGCCAACTGTCAAAGAGTTGTTGAAATCATTGCCCCCCAGCATCCAGTGAATGATAGTACAGGGCCTATTGAGCCATTGTTTCTTCATTTTGAAGGGATAAGTGGGTTATCCAAGGCACAGAAACCATATGTCCAGCTGGCTTTTGAGAAAGGGGTATTTACAAAAGAATCCCAAGATATCATTAAACAATATTTACGTTTTAATCTTGATGAAATTGATGATGATGATGAAGAAAGTGATCATAATAATTCTGATGACCATTCTGATGATCATTCTGAGGATCATTGTGATGATCATTCTATGACACAGGAAAGATCGCTGACCAGTTAAAAATATGAAGTCAACAACCTTGTTAATGTTTTGAACTATAAAATGCTCTACTTTTTATATAYARCTATATCAATATCATCAAAGTATATATTATCAGAGTGGAGGCTCTTGATATATTTTGGACTAGTTGGAATTTTTTTCCATAGGTCAGATGCTAAAGCTTTAACAGTTTGTCTTCCTAGACAGTGTATTCTAATTTTTTTTGTTGTGAAGCTATTGATGAGATCATACCTAGGGCCATATCTGTTCATTTTTTGGCAAAATCAAAGTAATCATTAGGAGAAGGATATATTTGATACATGTTAATCTAAAAGTAGTGCACACAGTAACTACATTTAATATACTTTCAGTTTGTTGCTCTGGCTATTTGAACCGAATAAAACACTTGTTTCTGATCTGCTTTATATCCTATATAAACCAGTTTTTGTATGAACTCAAGCATAGATTTTAACAACCCTCCCCTTTAATGTGCTCATTTTTTCTTGACCCTCCCTTTTTTAGAGTCTTAAAAAGTTATGACCCTCCCCTTGTTTCCACCCCCCCCCCCCCCTGTTAATTTCTGACCAGTCCCTAAGTATAATGCAACTAATTATACTGCCATTTTGAAATTTTATTGCATGTAAATTCTGCAACTAGCATCAAGGGCGGATCCAGCTAAAATTTTAGGGGGGCTAAATGGTTTCAGGGGCGTTAAATAAGCTTTATCCGTTAACAACATTGAACAAATACGAAAACATTTAAATTTTCTGGTTCAGAGGTGGGGTGTGTGGGGTGTGCTACTGTAAAGATGGCGTAAAGATTGCGTAAACAAAACCTTGYGTTTATGCCACGTATACGCAAAATATACGCTGGGACGTAAATATTGTACATCGATAATTTACGATCTTTACGAGTATCGTAAACTTTGTTTAGGGACCATAAACGTACCAAAACGCTGACGTTGTAAATGCGTTTTCTTTATAAATACGCACAAAAACGCCAACGATATAAACGCGTTTTCCCTTAATATACGCACAAAAACGATGCCGATATAAACGCGTTTTCTTTAGTAATACGCACAAAAACGCTGCCGATATAAACGCGTTTTCTTCACGAATACGCACAAAAACAACTTGATATAAACGCGTTTTCTTTAGTAATACGCACAAAAACGCTGCCGATATAAACGCGTTTTCTTCACGAATACGCACAAAAACATCTTGATATAAACGCGTTTTCTTTAGTAATACGTTCAAAAACGCTTGTGATATAAACGCGTTTTGGCCAAATTTACGCGAAAAAATGCTTCCGATATAAATGCGTTTCCTTCATGAATACGCACAATAACGCTAGCGGTTTCATAGATAATTACAAAATTCTTATTAGTTACTGATAATTTATTACAAATGTATTTKACAATAAATATTAAAAAATCCTACTTCTTATATTAACCTGAACAAATGAAAGCGAAATATGTATAGTTACAGTTATTGTATGGTATAGAATAGTTTACGAAAAGTTTATAGGATGTAATACTATAAATTGTGCATATCAAACAATATCAATAGAAGTTAAATACATCAATTTTCAAAATCTAATGACCTTCRAGAGGCAATTGTTCTGGACTGTTTGATAGCCCACTTAAATGGGCTATCTGGTATAGGTCTTGTTGAGTCTGTTTCATGTCTCAACCTTCTGGTGTACAGGTAGACACCACTTTCTCTTCTTTAAACCTTGTCCACATTGGCCTTCGCTTWGGTCAGCTCTTCRCTTTCCCAAGCTAGCCTTTTTACCAGAAAMACTTTCCTGTTGCTTTCCTCGTCTACATCACTCTCTTCACTACTGTGATACTCTAGTCTACTAAAACACTCCTTTGYCATTTCTTTGGCCCTTTCAGATACTTTCATTTTTTCTACTGCCCAAAGACGTCTTGACTGTTTCTGATTTAAASCAAAAAGAATTGATTAGTGCAAGCCMCAAAATTATGTGATGTGAYTTTCAGAGTCAGGGAACCTAATGTTGTACACAGCATGATTCATRTTTACAACTTCCACAAACTCTCATTCCAGGTGTTTTAAGTGTTTATTTCAGTAACATTATTTGTCAAATCGAAAAAGTTTGGAAGAAAAACATATGGRTYGGTGWCAAYAACCCKGTTTGTTGTTGTTGCACATATGAATTCTGTCAATTTGACAAATAATTTTACTTCGATAAACATTTACAAGCAAAGTTTGCATAGGAGCGCTTCAATATGATTGGATAATGGTTNGCCCGTTTGACAAGGCCCACCATTCGTTCGAATTGTCCTCCCCACCATGGGGCGCGGGTTAGATTGAATGTCCATATTATGCTCTGCTGAGAAAGGAAGTCGTTGAATCTCTCATCATGCATCACTTTTCGAAGCCAACTAGCTGCTCCAACAAACGTGCTTCCATTGTCAGAATATAACTTCTTTGGACGCCCTCTTCTAGCGATAAAGGCTTTGAAGCTCTTTAGGAAKTCTTGAGTCTCAAGGGTTGGCAACAACTCTGGATAGACTGCACGTGTCAGACTACAGGAATATAGTAAGACGTMAGCTTTGCCTTCTTTCTTTGTTGAGACTTTGTAGGTCAGAGGTCCCATGTAGTGGTCCTACCGGAGGATTAGCAAAGGCTACTGCTTGGAAGCGCTTACATCCAGCACACCGTTTCACAATACTTTTCACGAACTTTAGCCATGGTGAGTCCGACGCCTCCGTGTAAAGTGATTTTGTGTGCTTCTTCGATAATCTTCTCTGCATAAAGTGACGTATCTGGTAGGTATGTTGGATATTCTCCTTGAATTCTTCCACAGCAGACCAACACTCCTTCGTTGTTTGGTTTAAGATTGAGTCTCTGTTCGTCTTCCTTAAATTTGTCTACACTCGCATGCTGCTGTTGAACTCTCTTTACCCAGAAAGACTTCTGCATTTCAATTTCTTCTGTAGTTAACGGTCCCTCTTTTCTTTGTTTGGGCTTCTGTTTTGCATTGTAGAGGAATCTTGCTATCCACGCACCAATTCTTAAAGTGCGCCAGAGGGTAAACTTTGACAAAAGATCATCCATCTCATCTCTCTGTTCCATGGTAACAGCCATGAATTGCTTGATTGGCCTACATGTAGCTTCAACTTCAGACTCTGCTGTGGCTGAAGAAATTATCTTTGGAGGCCATTGATCAGGATTGCTAAGCCACTCAGGACCTTTCCACCAAGAAGAGTTTCCAGGCACAGCACCACCTCTGCTTCCGAGATCTGCAGGATTGTCTTGCGTTGGCACATGATTCCACTTGACATCAGCATGAGCCTTGATTTTGTTAACACGATTCTTAACAAATTGCTTATACTCTCCTGCTCCATTAATCCAATACAAAGCGACGCTGCTGTCAAGCCATCCATTCAACGAACATACAGGAAAGCCCGTTAGTGCATCACAGACATTTGTTAACAAGTTAACAGTCATATGTCCAGCAACCAGCTCCAGACGAGGTATAGTGAGCCCTTGTTTTGCAAGCCTTGCGCGTGCGGCAACAAGACCTTGGTTGATTCCTGATTCTTGTTCCACTACAGCATAAACAGCAGTTGCAACACCCTTCCCGCTTGCGTCTCCAAATCCATGAAGATGAATTCTCTTGACTGCCTCATCTATATTCACCAGCGTTCGTGGTACACAGACTTTCTCAGGAAGGCCGCTCTGCCACTTATCCCATCGTTTTGCAAGTTCCTTTGGTAACTGAGCATCCCACGCACACTTCTCTAGGCACGCATCACGATAGATCAACTTCCCTTGAAGTACAAGAGGAGCTGCTAGTCCAAGAGGGTCAAACACTTTAGCAACTTTACTCAGAACTTCTCTTTTAGTTGACTCAACTCGTTGTTGTGGGAATGACACCGCTAGAGTGTCACTGTCTTTATTCCAAGTCAGTCCTAGGAGCTTACACTGATCAGACTTAGTTCCTAGCTGTTCTTTGGCATAACTGACTTCAGATTCCTTCACATCATGATAGATCTCTAGCTCTTTCACATTGGAGTGCCACTTGTGTAACTGGAAGTTAGCGTCCTTGAAGATGTCAGTAGCTGATGTTTTCTTCTGTAATGCTTCCTCAACCGTTTCTCCTCCAAGTATCAGATCATCCACATAAAGACCTCGCTTGATTTCATTCACTGTATCGAATAGTACAACATGTTGACTGTCAAGATGCTGTTCAATGACCCCACCCAGCAAGAAAGGTGACGGTCCTAAGCCAAACAATGCACGTGTGAATCGATAGGTACGCACTTTGTTGGGGTTTTCAACGTCAATCCAATGAAATCGTAGAGCATCTCTGTCATCGGCTTGAATACGTACTTGAAGAAAAGCCTTTTTGATATCACCAGCTATGGCTACAGCATGAAATCTTCCTCTGACTAGAACTTTCCATAATTGGTTTTGAAGCGGTGGCCCAATGTCTAGACACTCATTCAGAGATGGGGCGTTGGCAATTGGTCTCGCAGAAGCATCATAGACAATGCGCATCTTTGTAGTTTCCGAATCTTCTCTTATCACAGGTTTATGAGGTATGTAGAATTCCCTTCCCTTGGCTGTTTCCTCGGCCTCTTCGATGATTCCGTCTTTGAGTTGCTCTTGGATGATAGTGTTGTATGTTTCAAGCTGCCCATTGCGTCTCAGTTTGTTGACAAGAGTCTCCAATCTTCTCAAGCTGCCTGCTTTGTTGTTTTGCAAAGGAGGATGGTCTCCTTTCCATGGTAGCCCAGTCTCATACCAGCCCTTGGGATCGCGTTTCAATTGATCTTTGAATTCCGCATACACAGCTTGTTGATCTCCGCTAGGAGTGTCCTGTAAACCAAGAACATCTAGTCTACAAAGCTCTTTGTAATCACATGATGCTGTCTGGGTGAATAACATAGCTTGTGTATCTACCGCACCAGTAGTCATGATTGTCCAGCCAAACCTTGTCTTCTCAGCGACAGGTTCTCCGATGTTGCCAGCTCTCTGGTATCCAGCCATCTTTATCTTGGTGTATTCATTAGCAACTAAGATCACGTGGACAGGTAATTTTTCTTTTGTTGCAGTATCCTCCATTTGAACGCCTTTTAGATATGAATACTTCTTCAAGATTCCAGGGTAGTTAGGATTGTCTAATGACAACAGTTCTTTACAATCGGCTTTAGTCACGCTGACAGGCAACACGCACTCACCACTAGTATCACTTATTTCAACATTGTAAGTCTCTACACGCCTTGTAAAGAAACCCACAATCGTTTTGAGCCTGCGTGTGAGCGTCTCTGCTGGTTTCACATTCAACAGATTTAAGAGAAATGATGAAATATAAGAGCTCGTTGATCCAGTATCTAGAAGTGCACGACACATCACTCCATTCACCTTTACAATCACCACAGGGTGACACACATTGTCTCCAATATGGGTTGCTGTCATTGCCACTTGTTTATCCGTTTTATCCGCACTTTTCTCTTGTTGGTCACAGATTGATGTGTGATGACGTTTTTTACAGTTTGAGCACGTGGCACGACTTTTACACTTTTCCGCTCGGTGATTACTTCCGGTGCAGTTAAAACAGAGTCTTTTGTCTTTAAGGATCTTCTAACGTTCACCGCTACTCTTTACTGTTTTACATTCGAAAGACTTGTGTGATTGCTCCCCACAGTAGACACATTCACGAGGAGACACAGTTTGTTCTTGAGCTTGAAAACTCCGAGTAGCGTGCGCTGGTTTCTCCACTACTTTAGCTGTGTTGGGATGGATTTCAGTCCATTCTCGTATCGCTGTAAGAAGCTCTGTGAATCCCCAAGACTGCCATTCAGAATTTCCTCGTACTAAGTCAGCTTTAATACCAGGTACTTTGTCCAAAACTCCACGGACCATTGACCAACATTGTGTTGTCTTCCCAAGTGTTTCCAACGACTGTACGTTAAATAACAATGTTTGATAAAATCCGTGAATCTTCCCTGGTTGTGATCCAGAAATAGTTGGTAGCGCCAAAATATTCTCGACGTAAGCATTGATTATCTCGCTTGTTTTGCCGTACGTTGTCTTGTGAATGTTTTTAGCACGTTCATAACCTTCCGTTGTAAACGGTAATCCGTCGATTAGTTTCCTCACATTGGGTTCCACAAGCTCCTTCAGATAAGCAAATTTAGATACACTGGATAAGCTTGCACTGTCAATTTCGGCTTCGTATTTATTCCAAAATCCTAGCCAGTTCTCGAGTTTTCCATCAAACGGTGTGATAACTAGTTTAGGCAACTTTACGCTTGGTTTGTCAGTTTTATCATCCTTTGATGAGTTTGTCTTGGCTTGTCCGTATTCCTTTTCGATTTTAGCTCGTTGTTCAAGTTTTTCTTTCTCAAATTTGAGTGTTTCTTCTCTTTACCGTGCTAGTAATTCTTGTTCTTTGAACATTCTTTCGTTCTCGGCGTGTTGTTCGGTCTCTTTGATGTAGGCTTGAAGCATGTTTACATTCGCATCAACTTGATCTATTTTCGCCTCTATATTCTTCTCCCATTGTTGTACGTCTTCGACATTTTCTTCCTTTGAAAGTTTACTTTCGACTACTTCGATTTTGAGATCCTCAACTGCTTTGATAAGAGTTATCAAGGCGTCTTTGTGGCGTTTGATCTTCTCGAGATTAGCTGAGTCGGCAATTTCTTTGGATTTTCCACTCGTTAGCTCTAAAACTTGAAGTTTAACCTTTAGTTTCGCTTCGCTTACGGCCATCGTGTCCTGGCGTGGTCGCCAGATGTTGGGAATGCCCTCGTTGGGCCAGATAATCCACCAACAGGTCAAAGTTAATACACAGTAATATCACCGGGTCGCCATCTTCTCACATGTTATTTTATTTTCCAATGACGTCACAAGTAAAAATGTCATGAATAAACATANTAGCTTGGCATCAAAGCGAGACAGGAATTGAGACTGGATTGAGTAGGTATCTATCACTGCAGGCTCAACTCCTGTCTCGCTTATACATGTCCAACACTGGATTATGGTACACCCTGTTCTCCATACGATCCCCCTTGTCCCATGCATGGGCAATACCCGACATTCACTGGAAAAAATCGCGCGCTTTAAAAAGGTTGTAAATTTGATGTACATATCATGTAAATGTCCAAAATTCTGTAAATTTGATGTAAATGATTTCCATGAAATTTACAGAATTTTGGACACTTACATCATATTTACATCAAATCTACAACCTTTAAAGCGCGCGATTTTTTCCAGTGCATTACCCTTGATATTTAGGAGCAGACTGCTAAACTAGTGTGGCATTCCTATCCCCTTCCTTAAGGGAACGCCATGTTCATTGTACCCTTGTAGGCTTGGTTACCTTTAAAGTGCTACTTGCATGAAAATGGCCTTATTTCAAAACTTCAAGCAATACAAATATATGACTCATTGATATCAATAAAAACAATTGCGGGAAAATATTTGTTTTGGAATTATCCCATATCAGATAAATTTTGATTCAAAAGATGGAAGAACAAAAGGATTGAGTAAATGACGTCATCTACTCCAACATTTTTTGCCCAAATTATCAAGGATTTGTATCAATCTTCTTGAAATCTGCTGCTTCATGATTATTAGACTCATATGAATAGGTCTATTTGATTTTCAAGTATTTTCTTAAGATTCAAAATTTTCGTCCAAGTAGCCCTTTAAAGATGACGCCGGTAACATTCAGTGGAGCATTCTTGTTCCTCTTTTTATGTTAATCCCATAGAAACGTAGCGACATCTTTATAAAAATACATGGGTATGCTTGTCAAAAGTGTTAACAAGGACCTCAAAGGGACGCAATTCCTTTGCATTGATAGGCACCAGTGCTCAGGACCCGGCAACAATAGGAAGAATAAAATGGTGGGAACTAGCGGTAAACTAGTGTGAGCTGCGTCGGTGTTTCTAAAGAAACAGTTATGTATAAAAAGATAAATTTAACACCGTAAAAAAAGTATGTGAAATAACTTACTGACGTTTCGGACGTTAATCCTTTGTCCGCATAATAGGAAGACTAAGCCAAGTTTAAACGGTCAACAATCATCCAACAACTTCTGTGATCGTTTCCTTTATTATAAAAATGACCTCTTGTTAACAGATGCTTTCGTATTGGTTTAATTCTGAACACGACGAATTTTCGCATGGAAAGAAATCGCGCAAAGGCTCTTGGGTGCATGCGGGCTTTTAATAAGCTCTGTTCTGGGTTTAGTGCTCGGATTTTCATCTGGGTAACAAAATTACAGGATTCCTAGCTTCCTCATGCAAACAGAGACTTAGTTTACCTTTATCAATGTTGTCTTTAGGTTTTATAGCAGACGTAAGTGGATCATACAACAATGCCTTCTACACTGCTGGCTCGCTAGAAGTCTTTGCTGGATGTCTGTATATTTTGACTCGTTGTATTCCATCATCAAATAGAGAAGTTAT